TGACTGTGCCCAATATTGGGTGTTTTAAGTTGGGTGATCCACCACTTGTATGTCGCTGTAAACCTATACTGGATGCACAATATTCAGACGAGAGAATGTAGCTCAAGGCGAGCTTCAATAATATCCTGATGAAGATCCTATGTGCACCACTTAAACGCAGGAACAGATTTTACTTCAGAAATTAAGCTTTCGCAGAAAGATTTGGTAGGTGCTTTTTATAAGAAGGTAGTCCTATTTGGGTGTGATTTTTCTGTATAAGAAGAGGGGCGTCTGTCGAATGGGCCCTTTTAGATCAGATCGCAAATGCGGCTTTTCCCAGACTCTGAATAAATTCACATCAATCGAAACACGAGTCAGCACAGTAATAGGAAAGCTGTGAAGTGGATAGACACCGAGTGCGTTGTTTTCATTAAAATATATTTATTAGCAGTTATTATTATGCTGTATTTACCTGAAAGAAAATAATCCCTCAGAACAGAGGCAAAGTCGAAATGTCATTATTCAAAGAATTTTGTCAATGCGTGCTTGGGAAGATATTAATTAAGCACAATTCTCTTAGGATGGAGAAAGTCTCATATAGTAAAATAATTTCTGTCAATATTATTGTAGATAGAATCCACAATTTCGTGGGCTTTGATTCTCCAAAAAATTGGCTTTTGATAAAAACATCTGTGGCAAGGATATTTTGAACAAGCGTAAACATACCAGGATTTTCTACACAGATATCGTAAAAGAAATGAATAAGAAAAGAAACAAAATTGGAAGAATACATTAATTCGAATTATCATAGTTTTTCACGTAATATCAGAACAAATTGCATTGTTTTTCCATTTGGAACGCTTTCCAAATTTGCTGGGGCAAGCTCCAAAAGTGTGAAGCACTATCAAATCTACTCCAGTTAATTGGCTGCATGTCCTAAATCATATACTACCTCCAGACCTCCGCGGGCAATTGGCGCTTCTAAGGGAGTATGGAAAAAATTACATATCTCAGAACTTCCAGTTCATTCTGATCTAAAACATCTATAGATAAACAGACTTCAATCTAGACACCCATTCTTCAAGGAAGCTAGTTCACTTCCCACTAAGTTTCAACTTCAAGAAATACAAACCGTGAAAAGAAGAACCAGAAAGTTGTTTACAATGCATCATCCTGCTCACCTACTTAGGAATCTGTTTAAAACTTGGAGTAGATTTTTATATTTAACCGAAACCGAATATCACTAGTCGCAAATTGAGTAGAGAGAGAGAGAGAGAGAGAGAGAGAGAGAGAGAGAGAGAGAGACAGAGTGAGAGAGACAGAGTGAGAGAGACAGAGTGAGAGAGACAGAGTGAGAGAGACAGAGTGAGAGAGACAGTGAGAGACAGAGAGAGACAGAGACAGAGAGAGACAGAGAGAGACAGAGAGAGACAGAGAGAGACAGAGAGACAGAGAGACAGAGACAGAAAGAGACAGAGACAGAAAGAGACAGAGACAGAGAGAGTCAGAGACAGAGAGAGACAGAGAGAGACACTCAGAGGCCGTGAGCGAAGACAGATGAAAAGGCGACGCGGAATCACGGAGTGGCCAACCTTCAGAACACAACTGAGGTATTTTCTCCCCGTCTTCAACCACTCCGGATAAGAGCGTGGCTTTAAAAGTCAGATCGTATCTGCTTATCTATGCTAACGAGGGAACGGCGAGACGGGAGCGTTCACGGGCACGCAGGAAATTGCCCTTTTCCGCGCGCTACACGCAACGCGGCAGGAATTTAAGGCTGCAAAACGACGACGCGATGCGATGCGATGCGATGCGATGCGACGCGACCCGACGCGACGCGATGACGCGCACGGTGGAAATGTCCAAAACAGTAGGCCAAAACATTATAAGCAAGAAATTTAAAGTAAAAAGTTGGAGACCCTTTGAATTAAAAAAATAAATAAATGTAGTGTGTATAGAGTATTAATAATTGAAAGATGTCATTCGATTTCGAAGGGTATCAAGTCGAAACAGGTCGAATCAAATATCCATTTTTGAAAACAACCTGCGTGGTTTAGAAGCTAATGTTGCTGGCAGACGAAAAGTTTTTGAACTGATGAACGTTTTGGAAACAAGAAAAAACTTTTCCTGTAGCTTGTTTCCTTCCAAATCTCGAGATCGATTTTTTTGTTGCATTATATAACTTTATTTCCAACATAAAAGCAAGAAAATAGTATTTATCTAACGGTTAATTGATGTATCTGGGCACGTCATTAGTCCAGTGAGAATAGTGATTATATTTAACAAGGAGATCGGGTGCTCCAACCGGGTAGATGGTGAGATCCGCCACCTTGGCTCACAGGGAATTCCCTCTCCAGGTACTACTTCCAGCGAGGCACCGCGCCATCCGGGACAAGCTCTGAGCTCCCGATTCGCCTCCTGATGTGTGAGATATTGCAAGCCTGTAACTCTGTGCGTATGTATAATGAGAGAGGAGAGGGTGAGGAAGAGAAAGGCAAGATCGCGCGCGGACCATGGCCCATTTGATACTACATCCACATTCGCTTGGTATTGAATCGATTTAATACGCACCTCTATTGATATCAGCATTCAACAGCTCCGCAAGCCTTTTTGCAAACAATTCTTATTTATGTTCGAAACTATTTATAACGGTAAACAATTTAATTTGTATTGTAAGTTTTATGAATAGCTGACTCTTATATGTTTGAGTCATACTTACGTGCAGGGGAGGTCCCATCCCGTACAGACAGAGTATTCTCTGATAACGTATTCTGTGAATAATAAGATGGTTGGTCTGCGGAGTCTAACTCCTTTTTCCAATAACATATTTACATCGTATACTGATATTAACTTAGTCAGACTTTGTTATTTTTTAAACATTTTACTTTATTCAATTACTTCTTTTGGCATGTCATTAAAAATAAAAATTAATTCTCAAAAATATACTAAGGCTTTTTCTGATCTTAAAAAATGTATAGTCTCATCAACTGCGAGGTTATTAGCGACTTTTCTTTAAGTTTACAATAAGGTGGTTGAAAATGTCACTACATGTCATAATAATATACACAGCACATTTACTCTAAAAAGTATTACAGTTAGATGCGTAAATGGATTAACAAAATTTTCAATTTTTTTCCCTGTAGGGTGCTTGAATGAAGTAAAGCGTCAATATTAAAGTTTTGTAAGATTGATCGGTGGGATTGGTTGTACATAGGACATTCCCTAATAGTGTGTATTATTGTTATTTGTACATTACATACATTACAAATTGGGGGAGTATTCTGGTTTATTAATTGAAGGCGAGTTAGCCACATGTATTCTGATCTAATTCTAGTTATTGTAACTTGATCTTTGCGGAACATTTGTTTAAGTTTGCAGGTTGTAGACGTTTTCTACATTTTTATGGACTCTGCTGCTTTACTGGTCGTCCAATCGTGGTTCCACGTGGTTTACATGTGTCCATACAAGTACTTCCAGATATCATTCGTCGTGTACGATATATTATGCATATTTTTCACTGACTGGAGGTCGACTAGTGATGTTGGAACATGACTTCCTGACGCAGCTCGTGGTATATCTAGATGAAGGGGAATCCAGAAGATAACAAGGTTTTTACCAAGACTTTTCATAAGATGGAGTAGTTCATTAACATTGACAACCATTTCAGAGATTGCATTTTTGTTGTAGCATAGTTTTTTTGTAGAAAGTGATTTTACGAATAGTGTAAAAAACCGTCATTTATCTATAGCGTATTATGTATTGAGAGACTGAAACCCGTTGTCGTGGAAGATTAAATTATCAGTTATGAGAGATCTTCTAGACTCGTATGTTTCTAACATGCATTCATTCTTGGGCGAGAAAATGCATAATCATTTGCAACAAAATGAAAACAGTTAATGTGTTATCATTGTGATCAAAGAAATGAAAGAGGAAAATAATGAATGAAATATTACTGAGACTGTTATGGGGCGCCGGCAGATAATGCAATCCGCGCAGCGAATCCGGGCAGATGATGCAAGATTCGTTACAATATGGCATTAAGGATTAGTAAGAAGTTGAAGAAAATTCAAAATTTGTTTTGTAGTCTTGAAATTATGAATATTGCAAGATTCCAAAAAAATTTACGCTGTCTATTGATGCACATATTGTTTTCTGTCGAATCCTGCAAAATTGAACTGCAACACTTGCAAATCCTGAAACTCAGGGACTATTCTGACAGTAAAGTCATGCCTCCACTATTTAACATTGACATCAACATATTTACATATAAAATATGTTAAGTGTAAAATTTTAAATATGGACATTTTGACTACAGCATTATGGTACATATCTACGTTCAATGCCATGCCATTAATATTAGGCCTACACTTGTTAACATGTCGGCATAACAAGTTTTTGTTCTTAAGAACGATGTAAATGAACTTAGCATTTGTATTATTTTACCTTTAGATATTTTTTATATTTTCAGTAGTTGTTGGCTATATTTCATTCACGTTGGTGCGATTTTCTATTTGACTGAGTCCTAGAAGCACCTAAACATATCCATCACCTTCCGGTATGCGTCCCAATTTTTACTTGCCAATTTCACGTAATGTCCCATACATTTTAATAAAAAATCATCTCATTCAAGAGGTTTCTCGCTTCCTTTGCTGTCAATTTCATTTTACTTAATCTAGGACAACGAAAATCATATTTGGAAATCCAGTTCTTGCCATGCAAACTCACGGTCTTGCCCGAAGTTTATCTGCAACATCCAAACAAAAGATTAACATAAGTTTTCCATTCCTGGTGTAAAACATCCAACATCTGAAATATGTTAAGTTTAACATGTTAAAAATTAATATACATAAAGCATCGGAGAAGTGGTATGGGTACAATTGACACGGTGTTAAAATGTTTAGTGGAGGCCCGACATAAATTTCCATGCGCGCTCAGGTGTGGCCATTGTAGCCGCACTGTTAGATTCGTACGAAGGACGTCAATAACTCAATATATCAGAATAGCTTAGATATATCGCCGGTGCATAACAAAAATGACTACCTACAAATATCATTTTGGAGGGGAGTGGTTTTATCATGCCGATCACTTTCGGGCCAAAGAGAAACTTCAACCCTACTGGGTGTCTCGCAATAAATGTTACAATCTTCTAGGATATTTTTTAGATGGATCGAAGATGATAACTTTTTACCAATGAACGTGTAGCAGGAAATTTCAAACAGATAAAATACACGTGCGAAATTTCCATTGATTGATAGGCAACTAATGTGCAGATGTATGGTATCACGTTCTGATGAAGTCAAAGATTGATCATTTTGTGTTTTCTGGCGCGTCAACTGCTAAGGTCTTCAGTTCCATAAGTATAGTGCATTTTTCCTCGGGAGGTGGTGGTGATTTTCCCCGGTTGGATGATGAGATCTGGCACTGACCCATACGGCGTTTAGCGCAACCAGGTTTCTCACTTGCAGAGCACCGCCCCAATCGGAACAAGCTCTAAGCTCCCGACTGATCTCCTGACATGTGTGGTAGTGTGGTGCATGTAGGTGTAAGTGCAAGTAAGGGATGAGGAAAGGAAAATAAATAGGAAGGAAAGAGCGGGCGTGGTCCGTGATCCGATTGTTTAGGTACTTATCCGGCATTCGCCTGGTATTGATAGAACAAACCACGGAAAACTATACTGATCAGAACAGCTGACCGCCAGAATCCTCCTACAGATATCAGCTGATTCGACCTAGCTATCAAACTAGTGTCGAAAATTCTGTTGCCAAACTGTCGGGGCTACAACATCCTGGTAATAGGCACTATAGTAATATCAGTTGATGCCCTAGTCACCTAAGTAGGTTTATTTTATGAAATTTTGCACCCATGTTGATTGGCAAAATAATAATAATAATAATAATAATAATAATACAATAATAATAATATAGTACATCCCTACAACTTTGTAACATTACTCTTAGACACCCAGAACAGTCCAACATATTGTCTTTGGACGCAAGCAATTGTTTTGAGAACTACCAACATAAAAGTTTACTACAAAAATTGACTATTTCCAAACGCATTTATTCTCATGACTAATATTGACGATTTCTTCAGGTTGTTATATATATATATATATATATATATATATATATATATATATATATATATATATTGCCAATATAAAGAGCTAATTTCTTTCGAAACTTTTTCATTTGTAACTCAGTTTCACTCTTAGAGAACATCATTGTATTAGCATTTGTGGAATGAAAATATTATGTCATAATTTTTTAAAGCATACCAGAACAGTTTTAGAACTTTGGTCACTATGTTTCTATGTTTTCCCCCATTGTAAGAAGCTTCCCTCACAAAAATTTGGAAGTAGCTAGAGACACTCCGCACCTTGCGTGTCTGGTAAACTTTCTTTTTCTTCTTTTCTCCTCTCTCGAGTGTGACTTCTCTGAAAAAGTCCTGGCAACTGAAACATAAACGGGCGTTTAAAGTTCACTGAATATTTGCCCTACATTTTCGGCGGAGTTATAATTTAAGACGGCGGTTCGTAATTTCTGGTTAATTTTTATGGAGGCGGAGGATTCACCAAAGGTTTGCGGTTGAACTTTTTTTAAATTTTCGGTTTTTGTAATGTTTTATCATTTTCTATAATTTTATACATTTATATAATAATTATAATATATTTATATAATTTTAAACGTAAGCATCGGTTATATACGCGAATCTTTTCATACGCATTGGTGTACGGGTTACTCACAGGGTGTACGAGGTTAGCCCATCAGCAATCATAAAAAACTCTTCTAGTGCTATCTGGTCTAATTTGTTAACCTTCCATGAGGGTTTCTGCCTCTTGTTCCGTCCTTTAATTCCCTGCATTTTATTTTGTATGCCGAACTCTATATATTTATGATCACCGAGAGTGATATCTTCCACAACCGTCCAGTTGTGTATTTGTCCCACGTTTTTTCCTTGAGAACAGGGTCAGGTCTATGACTGACCTCGAGTTGTATCTCTCGTATGTTGCTATTCCTCCGATATTCAGCACCACGAGGTTTCCCCTCGCCTGTAACAAGAGGCCCTCTTCTGTCACTTCTTGGTGACTCCCAATCCGAGGATTTCGCGTTGAAGTCTCCCGTTATTAAGACTTTTCCTGTAGCCGTAAGCATGCTATCTTCTTGGTTATCCAATTCAAATTCGAATGCACCAAGGGGCATTCGGCGAGAAGTACCAGCGGCAGATTTGAACTCCATCTACTTCGATCCATACGAAGCCCTTATGCTTTTCTTCGAATTTTCAGATCATGATTGGCAACGAGGAGAACTGATTTACCGGATAGGTCCTAGTAGCATGTTCTCGAGTCTGGATTCCTGTATTGTTCTCATATTATGGCTATATCTATTCATTTCTCTTGGAACGTTTGCAGAAGTATGTCTTGTGCATGTCTGCATTTCCCCAGGTTTATTTGCAGGATTTTCAGCTCCATCGTCCATTTTGTTTAGCTAGCGGGGTATGGAGCGACGTACAATGTTTACTGCCCGCACGATATTGGTAGTTCTCATTGTTGTCATTGCATGAAAGGCAGACAGACTCTGCGGTACACTCCGTCGATGATCTCCTTCTCCACAGTTCCAGCAGAAATTTCTCATGTCGGGGCCGTTCCAATGTTTGGCGATATGGGCATATGCGTGACACCTGTAGCAACTTATCACCTCCTTCCGTACAGTGATACTAAAGTATACCATGTCTATTGCGATTTTCTGTTTTTGGAAAAGAACTGCGGTCAAGTTCTGCGGTAATTTAACTATTAGGAATTTGACTATTGGGAAGCTGACTGTATGGGAATCAAGTAATTATTTGATAGAAAATTCTTTCACTAGTTTTAATAAGACATCCATGCACAACACCTTTACGATCGTAACATAAAGAAATATTGCTCTTGACATAAATTTATTAGTAGCACTTGATACAATTGTTCTTTTCTTAACTACCGTTTCACACTTTCATTTCTTGAGAAACAGTAGAGTACGCGATATTAAGTACTTGACCATGAACTCCACTATACAATTTATACAGTATAACAAACAACATTAATATGATAAACAATTGAGATAATAATTATTTTTCCATATATTTTGTCAAGGTTTAAAAGTGGTTGCTAGAAGTTCATGGTTTATGTTTATAGATTTTTCTTTTTTTGGTAGGGCTTTTATCTAGTCAACAGCCTCTTACCCATTTACGTCCCGATGGAACGCACATTCAACCATATTGTAGACACCAACACTAGCGGGATCAGTAGAACCCTCCGCGACACATACATAGAAACAAGGGGAAAATAACCATACTGAAGGCGGGGCACGAACCCGCGACCCGGTACACGCTCCTAACTATCTCGGCCATCCAGGACGGCTGTTCGTAAATTAATTAATGTAACAAACTTTTGTATAATGAAGTCTGTCGTTCTTTAATACAATTAAATTAAGCTTGCCATATCAAGTTACAAGACAATGACACGATCTGATGCCTGCAGTATTTCACATACGTAGGTGGCATTGGCGCCCCCAACAGCTTGTAGAAGACGAGGAGGCAGGGAGAGCGTGGGATGATCCACTGGCTCAAGCTCGTGTCTGCGTGAGAGGGTTCCACAGCAGGGCAGTTCAAGTGAGCGGCCCTCTAGACGAGCCCCGGGCCTGCAAGCGACGATGATGCCCGCTTCTTGTCAGTTTGGGCCCTTGACAAGCCCGCAAAGCCGCGCGGCACAACGTCTGTTCTTCCGGGCACTCGTTCTTCGACATTGATAAACTGATACCAGATTTGATTAGAAAGTGTGCTCGCGGGGCGCAAGTATTGACATTGTTTGCCAACCTTCGATAACATAGGCACCCAAAATAAAGAACTTGTCGTATTCAAAGAATTGACACATGATTTTCTATGTATGTCAACGTGCTGAATCTGAAGCCAGAATTGCTCTTCCACCTTCCAGTTTTTCTTGCGAAAAATACTAGATTTGTGTGTCTTAATGCGTTGTATTCTACAGAAGTCAAAAGTTGTTAAGCCCAAGCACTGAATCCTAATATTAAACTAGAATTGCGCTATTACTCTCCATTTTTTTTAAATCGCGAAAAGCTGCCGTACGATTGTAAATTGTACATTTCATGGTTTCAGATTAAAAACAACAACTGGAAGGTGGTTGCGTAATTCTGGCTTCGGATTCGGATTCAGCGCGTTGACATACATAGAGAAAAATGGGTCAAGTCTTTGGGCCTGACAACTTCTAAAAACAAAACGACGATGTCACGGTAGCTTTACGCGACTTAAAACAAATTGGAGGGTGTTGGCGCAATTCTTCGGATTAAGATTCAGCGCTTCGACACACACAGAGAAACATGTGTCAAGTCTGTGGGTCTGACAACTTATTATTATTATTATTATTATTATTATTATTATTATTATTATTATTATTATTATTATTATTATTATTATTATGTTGTGTTCCAATGTTATTTTTGACACATATACAACAATGTATGATGTTTCACTTGAACGCTGGTGACACATGGTGACGCCTGAAAAACAAAAATACCTATGACTATCATTGTTTCGTTCGACAAGACGGCTCTGAGCGTCTTGGAAGCGAATGATTGGTTGACATAAATTAGTATAATCAATGAGCCAATCATCTTCGAGGTTGCATAAAGCCGCCTTGCCGCATATGGTGCATATTATAGTATTTTGTGATCGTTCTTTTAAGTTGAAGCT